GGAACTTGTAGCACGCTGTTCAATGGGGGCTCCCATAGAAAGAGTGAAAAGGCCGCCAGCGACCAAGAATAAAGGAAGGGTAAACATATTGAAATTTGATTTGTGGATTTGATTTCTGAATTTGGCTGGTGAAATTGAATTCGACTTAAAATTCGACTTTGACTCAAAATTTGAATATGAATATAGATCTAACGATGAAGATCAATGTGTAGTATGTGAAGAATCAAGATGAATGATTGTAGGCAAGAACAAGAATGAAGGAATGACTCGTCGAGAGTATTTTGCGTCAAGCAAATGGACCTTGAGAGAATGAAAGGTTGATGGAAGGATGTGATGATTAAAAAACATACCAGAAGAGGAGGTTATCAACATCTTATATCTCATACCGCCAGAACTCGGTCCATCAGGCCATAAGAGTTTAGGAGCAATTCAGGTACAAGATTCATGGGACGTTAGTTTGTGCATGGATAGGATCCAATTAGGAATGTGGTGGATCCCCTGAGTTGCGAAGCTTTTTATCGTAAGCCTTCTTTGGTGGACCAGTAAGGCAGATCACATTCCTTGCTGATGGTCGATAGCTGCATGTGTGTATACGGAATAGGTTCCACCAAATAAAGTACATGGTCTACCAAAGCGGGCCAGCTTCTTTGAGGCGTTAAGATATTTGATTGCATGGATGGATAATTCTCCGGATGTGGATTTGAGATGCTAACATCGAAAGAGGATTTAATTTGGAAGAAAAGAGAAGAATTGTATGCGAGAATTATAACTTAAGGCACGAATCCAACCATTAATTCAACAAATGATCATATCCCGACAGATTTTCGCAATAAGAACGACCAAAAAATAAAGACAACTAAAATCCAAAAAGGGGGAGGAAAACAAAATGCCCCCCAATCAGCTGAATGCCGCCTGTGAAGGTTTTTGTGGGTTTCACTGAGCCACAAACGTGAGCTGCTTGTTCATCTTCATGCAACGCTGGAGAGAGATAGAAACCCGTCTGTGTGTATCGTATTCCTTTGCCCCTCCATCTCCATCTTCGACTGAAAAGGGAATCGTGAATCTTGGAAAAAATGTAACTATTTTTATTTTTTCCAAGGAGAACAAAGCGACGCAAAACAACGCAGAGCGAAATAAACAATTAATTAATTACAGTAAGGAAAAATGACGATGCGCGAAAACCTAAAGGCAGGAATTTAGACATGACGGATGATATAAATGTCGACTGCTAATATCTCAATTGTACTGTACTGTACGAGTAACAAGTATCACCGCTTTTTATTATATACGCAATGCTATGTATGCATACACAATATAAGCCAAAATACGAATAGTATCGAAAGGATTCAAACCCCAATTTGCCAATACCGTTCTATAGATCATCATCCGAGCCAAAGATACCTACCTACCTAGGGATGCACGGAATATGTGACCCTCAAAACGTCCCCTCTTCCCTCTTCTATCATCCCATTCGTACGGAATCAATCTCTCCATCAACTTTCTCATCCCAGCACGAGCGTAGGACACGCCGAAAGGATTTTATCTTCCTTGACTCTATTCGTTGAAGAGGGAAACAAAAATTCATCATCCGAACCCCATCTTGCATTTCTGTGTTTCATGTTTCCAAGCCATACTTTTGCCGATAATGCATAATGTAATGGTGATTGGTCGGTTGATTTAACATCCTTTCTTATTACCCTTATTCAGGTACCATGCGGTTGTAAGTGGATTGACCATTCATGTGAGGTATTTGATGCATCTGGGGGAAGTGGTCGTATTGTTAAGAGTATGCTTGAGAAGAATCCATGGTTGTTTTTCTGGTCTCGCCCATCTCGTTTCTGGTCTCGTCCATCTAGTTTCTGGGTCTCTTCTCCGTCTTCACTGTCAGGTATCTAGGTATCCACCATATGAGTATCTAGGTAGTCCAAAAAGAAAACAAGCGCCCAAGTTATCGGCGGCTGCACATATCAGGCATACGTATGTACCTACCTGTCTATCTACGTGCTAGTCAACAATAAATCAGCATGAAAAATGCAAGGTCAATTAGCCGGGAACGCTTGACGATATTCCGCGTTTATTTCTAACTTTACCTAGGTAACTCCTAAAAGCAGGTACCGATGTAAACTACACGACTACACGACTACACGACTAGATAGACTAGTCTAGCCTTCCCTTCCTTCTAGGTGATCTATCATTCATTCACTGCATCCATCCCTCTGCTTGGAATCTTTTGTCACCTGCAGTGGCGTGAATGGAGTGGAGTGAGTAGTACGAACGGAGCAACAGAGCGGAAGTAATACCTTGACTGCATTAGTCATGTTTCTGTTGCATTTCATGGATTTCATGGATGAATGATTTGACTGGGCTATTGATAAACCAATGATAATGATATTCTGGTATGATATTCATCACAGACATTACTCTACACAGATACAGCCGTGATGCAGCATTACAGCACAGACGAGAGAGAGGGACAGAGGAGATGAGCACAACATGGAAGGATTTTTTTTTTCTTTCTCTTTTTCTTTTCGTAGAGAAAAATTAATGTGGTATCGGAGTACCCACCAGTAAAAAGTAGAAGAAGGAGCTGAAGAGGGATTGATACAGGAATAATCTGTAATAGGAATATCATCCGATTGTTGTCTCTACTTCGTACTCCATTCTATACGATAGATATCTACCGACCTACGACGTAGTAGGTACTTCCTCTCGATTCTGAGAAACCTACAATAGATATGATACGACGAGTAAGACAATGGATGAGTCCATTGGGTATACCCGACTCCAGCTGCCCAATGATTGTGGCAATGACAACCTTGGAATGGATACCTAGCCACTCAGAACTCAGCCACTCTTGGAAAATACTGCCGCTCACCTGCCCCACTTACCTAGGTACGTGGACTGCCAATTACTCAGCAGATTATTCATCGCTCGATCATTTCACCTCCCTCGACCTCATCTATCAAAACACCAAAAAGTATTGAATATTTCTATTCTATTCCATTCCATTCTATTTCGATATATCATCCTATCATAACACATCACATCATGTCGTGATCAAAAAATACACACACATTCAAATGCAGGACTCTTCCTCCCTTCAACAAATATTCTCAGGAATCCAATATTCCAATCCAATATTATCAAAATATGTCGGCCAGTCTACCTATCCATCCATCCATCAATCACCATTCCCTACCTACCTTGCCTCAATTTCCAATCTGCAGTGCAGTGCAGTGTATGCAGGACATGACTTTTGCAACTCTCCTCAGGTGAGAATTATTAGATAAATATCCTACTCATGTATCAGAAGTCGCACGAGAGGATTTCCAAGAGTCAGGATTCTCAATTCTTCTCCATTCATTTCTGCACTGTTTGAGGCATTTTCTGTAGGGGAATATGTGATGTACTCGGTCATTCAATCATTCCTTCATTACCTTTCTATGCATGCAGAGGTTGTGAAACGATAGTCATGGTAGGCATCTCTTATATTGAGATTTTAACGGGTTGATACAATATGTCTGCCTGTCGTAGGATTCGATAGATCTTCAAGGTAGGTCGAGGGCAGTGGAAATGGGTCTAGAATCAGGAACTGAATCAAGTGATTATTTCGCGGGATTTTCGGAGAATTCTTGTATGCGGACGTTGGATTTGGTGTTGGTGTTACGTTGATTGTGATGATGATGGTGATGGTGGTTTCACAGTAAAATTCTTTAGGGATGATGACTTCTATGTTATCATGACTCGTCCTTGTATTCGATAGTTCGACATTGAGGGGTTATGTAGATCGGAATGGATGGATGAATAGATGTGATGATATTCAGTACCCTTCAATCTCTTGAATATCATGTCCAACTGTAGGTATCTTTCTACAATCTCATACCCTTATTATATCACCAATAATGAAAGATCCAAAATAAATTCCTCGCTCTCCTATATTTATCTACCGATTTCAAATTTGAGAATACCTATATACATCTCAGCCCCCGCATTTGGTATGATCATGCCGGGTTACATCCGTATCTTTCCTCTTTCCATCCCTCGCTCTTCCGCAATCCGCCAAGAAAGAGTTTCACGTCATCCTTCGATATATCTTTCTGCAAGTATATATTCTATTATGTCGTATTCTGTTGCATCGAATTATATCAAAAATAACCATGTGATCATGAGAAAAAGTGCATACACCACAAGAACACATCTAAACCATTTATTCATCTATATCTACACGAGTACATCGCACAATTCCAAATCAACCCCCCTATTACAAAGCAAAATGAAAATACAAAACTGGAGAAACCACCTCGGTCTCTATCTCTATCTCTGATTCTGTCAGTAGGAAACGGGAATCAGGGGTGAAAATTTTTGCCTCTTTGTTTATTCATGTCTCTTGTGTTACTTTTCAGGACATTACATTTAAATACAAATGCAAATACAGCATGCGAAATGAAGTAAGAATGCGTATCTCTATTATTTTCTCTTCTCTTAACTGTTGATTTCAAATATGAGATTTAAGGGATGTTAGTAAGTAAGCAAATAAATATTGATATCATCTCAATCTATTCTTCTCGAGTTTTAGAATTTCATGTAAGCCCAAGAGAAGAAAAGTGGAATTCTTGATTCTTCTGCTTGATGAGAGATGAGAGATGGAGTTTGGGATTTGTGGGATCGGAAAATGGATTTTGGAATTTGTTTGCGGAATTGGTTTGATTCTTGTGCTTAATTTTTTATACCTATTGGAATTCTTGCTTTGAGTTGATTTTAGGTGGGAACACGAGAAGGTAGGTTTATTGTGGTATGTGAATGTGTTTTAGTTGAGACTACTTCGTATGTTCTGATTTCTTTTACTGATAATTATTCGTTGTCTTGAATTATACTGTATTGCTGATTGCTGATGCCGAGAGTTTGGAGAGATGATTTACAGAAATTTAATTAGATTAAAAATTAAACATTAAACTAAACTACCAACAAATCCTCTCTCCATGTTTCTCCATTAACAACCCTCACCTACAACTCCAACTCCCCCCCTGTTGACTCGTCTCCCTAATTCCCACCCCACTAGCCCAAACCCCCATTCCACAAAGCACCGCTCCCACTCCCACCAACAAACCATTAACCAGCATCCCTCCCCATCTCCCCCACCTCCCTCCCTCTCTCCCATTCCCCCACTGTAACCACAACCCCATCACCCCAGGCAACCCATACGTAAACCAGCTCGCAAACAAACTACTCACCAACCCCAACAACTCATTAAACCCAGGCACGCTCTCCCCAATAATCCAAGCCAGCACCCACACCCCCGCGGTAATCCCCAACCACGCCACCAAACCTCTTTTCGTCCTCGTCTCCGCATGCGTCGTCCCGGTAAATATGCGCAGGAATATATACCTCGACGCTACGTGTCCAAAGATCACCCCCGCGATCACAATCGTCGGAATGGCGATGCCGAAAGCGATTTTGGAGAGGAGAGGTCCCGCGGAAAGGAGGGCGGGAGAGGAAATGGAAGTGCCGGTGTAGATGTAGATGAGGATGGAGGAGAGGAGGTAGAGCGCTATCTCGATGGTTTGCAGGGTAGCGAGGGATTTGGGGAAGTCGGAGGGAGTGCGTAGTTCGGAGATGAAGGTGAAGAAGGCGATGTGGCCGGCTGGGGAAAGGGGGTTAGTTGGGGCTTGGAGTTTGGGGGAGGAATGGGAAGGAGATGGGTATGCGTACCATAAGCGAATACGATATTCGTTACACTCAGAAAGGCTTCGCGAAGAGACAGATCTTTCTTAGGCCATAAGGAGTATGTTTTCTCGGTGGGTGCTCGCACGCCGACGGATACCATGGTGATGATGACTGCGGTTCCGATACTTGCGAATGCTGTGTATTGATATTGATTAGTTTCTTTCTTATTCTTATTCTTATTCCTCTATCATTTTTCAATTCCTTTCCTATCCCTATTCCCATTCTTTTCTTTCTTCTTCTCCCAACTTCACATTGTATCCTCAATTGGCATATTTAAACAAGACGACACGAGAGAAAAATAAACCAAAATACTCACAAACAATACTCAACCAACTCATACCCCTACACGTCCTCGGCAAATCCAGGATCCAAAAAACACCCATCCCCACCACTCCCCACACAATATTACACACCTTCCCCCCCGTCAATGTATCCAAACAGATAATCCACGTGAGAATATGACTCGCCATTAGAAACAGCAAAAACAGAATTTGCGCCGCCCCCGCCATTTCTCTTCCTACATTGGGAATTCCGAGGGGAGCGAGAAGAATCGAACATGCATCGGCCCAGGAGACAATCGATGGATAGGCGGCGCGGAAGCGATGGATCAGGAGTCCGGAGTACCAGGCTAGGAGACCCATGAGGATGATGAGGATGAGACCGGGGATGAGCCCGATGGTTGCGAGGACCGAGGGGAGAGCGAGGATGCCGAGGGAGATGGTTTCGGCGATCATGATGAAGGCGCAGTGGAGCCAGGTCATGGAGCGGAAGTGGATGGGTTGGGGAGGGGAGCTGGTGGTGCGGGTGGTGGTTTCGTTTTTGGTTTCTTGGGATTCTGGATCCTGTGCGGGAGGGGAGGGGGGGTTGGTGAGCGCTTGGAAGGGGCTGCGGGATTGCTGGGTGGGGCTGTGGTGGGAGGATTCCGAAGAGGAGAAGTCTTCGGAGAAACGGGAGGTTTGTCGGTGGTAGGAAAGGCGAGGGGGAGGGGCGAGGAAGAGGGGGGTGGTTTCTTCGGATGTGGTGGGGTTTTGGGGGGTAGAGTTGGGATCGAGAGATGAGTTTCGGGGGGTTGGGGCATTTTGCATGGACTCTGAGGTCTCGGGTGCGGTGACGAAGGTTTGGTGGGATGTAGTTGTCTGCTCGAAGTGAGGGACTTGGAGATGAGGGGAGCCGGGTGGTTGAGCCATTGTGTTTATGTATATGCTGATAGTTGTAGATGGATGTATGGATATGTTTAAAGATGGATTAGATGATGAATCTCAATTGAATATTAAAAATTAAGTATGAATGATATCATGAGTTTCCAGCCTCAAATTGTATGCAAAAAGAACAGTTCTACCACCTCAGAAATACGAAAAGAACGAGAAAGTTTTCCACACATCTTGTGGGGGAGTCGAAGACTTATGGGAATGGGATTTTTTTAGTGCGAAAAGAATTATGACCAAGGTTATCTTACAATCGGTACTTGAATGTGAAGTTGAAGACACTTTGCACATTGAATGATAGGTAATATGGGGGTGTATCGGTACATATTTCCCAAGATCTATCAGTCTGGCACTTACTTGAGCTAATCCGGCACTTGAAAGTCGTTAGTGATATTTTTTGAAGCTATTTCGCTTGGCTCCAACTAAGATGTAAAGGTATCCTATTAGAATACCCGTATTGCTTATCTACACAAGTATTAGGATATAGGTACTATCCACTTAGAAGAGACGGGGTACATAGATCTCCATTATTGCGTCATGGTGCGTTTTGACAGAAGAGGTGGAGAGGCTTTGATATAGTATTGCGGAAAGAACGAGACATGATAGGATGAAACATTCGTTAGGAAGTTTGAGTTCTTAACAGGTGTAAACTTCATTTTGCTGGCCAGGTCAAAGATTTGAAATAAAATTGGTGATCCAAATACTAAAGAGATGATGTTCAATTGTTCATTGACACTCATGTTTACACTCACCAATTGTTTACCCCCTCTAGGAAATGAAGTATTAAAAGAAAACAGTTTTCCATCAATAAAATATTAATAGGAAGTTTTTCAAATAATTGCCTTCGTATAATTGAAAGTGCTGCATCTTTGAACTCTTGGCAAAGAACGTTGGGTCTTCAATTTTATTGATTAGAGATCCCCAAAAAGGTCAAGCAGCCAAAACGCTCCTTCCACCATCATTAGTGAGCCTAGCTCTCACCTTTATCTTGACATAATCCGTTCCCAGTTTTCTCAATTCTTGACTATCATTGTCATTATCTCTTTCGATTGCCTTTCCGTTTCCTCTCTCCGACAAACCATTGCTACTCTCGCCGTTGATACTTAATGTCGTCGTATCGACAGATTCATCACTGGGTAGTGAGTTGATTCTATCACAATCCTTGTAGATCATTGCTTCGGGTGCGAATAATAATGCTTCACCCACTCGCAATGTTACAATTTCCTTGAATACATCTCTTCTCGTTGACTCATCATCCTGAGAATTAGACCCCGAATTATGTAGTGCGGCAACATGTGAACGAAGACATTTGAGCCATTCAGGACTGGAAAAGCGATGAACAATAGTCATGGAGCATAAATCGATGAGGGTGGGAGAAATTGTTGGTTCTTGTGTTGAGATAAAAATCCGTGTACCTAAATGGCGCTGGAGACGGATCGTGGATAATAAATTACCAGTCAAGGCATCGTCTGTATTATTCGACATATACTAAAAGATGCCAAGAATTGTCAGTCACAGAAATCCAAGCGCGGTTTTTTCAGGGAAAATCATACTTTGTGGGCCTCATCAAGGGCAACAACTTTCCCTATGTTGGATTTCTCTTCTAGAAATAATGAGAGACACATGTTGAAGAGAGATGATGCAGCTTCAACGGTCACACAAGGACATGAAAGATCGACGATGGTAAGCTCTCCCGCCTACGGTATGTTAGTTTATGAGATTAATGCACTCAAAACTGCAAGGAAAGATGTAACCTTTATGCTCCAATCCGTTCCTTTGCCTCTTTTCAAAGGGGCAGGGGACTTAGTTTTCCTCTGCTCAATTGGCATAAAGCTTTCTAGTGTGTCCAATCGTTGTATGAGCGGTCCTTCCTGACCATTTGTCAGTCGAAGATCCTCAAGGTGCTTCTTGAATTCTCCGTAATGAAAAGGCTTTCCGCTGATTTGGTGAGCAATCCGGAGAACCCGTAAGATTCTAGTGATGCTGTGGAGATAGAGCGGCAATTCTTCTGATGTTTTGACGGCCATCAAGCTCAACATTCTTTGCGTTGTAAGATCAGTCTCGTCAATGCATAGTTCTTGAACTTCAACACCCTTAATATCACCGTATGTGCGCTGAGGTCAGATTTTGTGTGTCAGTAATGGTTGTTGGAATGACACTACCAATGATGCGTCCAAGTAATCAAGGTCTACAACAGCTTCTCGACACTCAAGTCATTCAATTGCGTGATGTTGACGGAAGAGAACGAAATAAGATGAGAGCTACTTGGAAGGATGACACAAGAGAGACCAGAGTTTGAACTTACTCGTATGGCTCTAACATTGGTCGGCGGACATAAAACTCGAACTTTTATGTCTGAATTGCTTGCAAGGTAAGCAGCCTCGCAAGGTGTCCCTTTCCTGCAACATCAACAAATTAGATTTTAGCCGTCAAGTAAGCAAAATGAAGAACATCGGAAGATATCAGGAAGTAAAGAAGCATTGAGTCCATGGATAATTACATATGAAAAAACCAAATGAGCTTACATATCGCCAATAAACGCATCATAGTGAAACAATAAAGCCGATAGAGGTTTCTTCACCTTACTAACGGATGAATTCGCAAGACAATTTTCCAAAAGGCATGACAGAGTATGTGATTTTCCACTTCCTTGGGAGCCACAAATGAATGAACTGAAAGGTGCAGCTATGTTATATAACAGCCTTGGATCCTTCCGATTTTCACTATTGGAAAGAATGCTAGATTGTCCGGCTATCAATCCATACTGCTCGATTTGGTTTCGAAGGGGAGCTGTGAAAACTGGTGTGATATACTGCTGATTATCTCGATCATGGCCAGTTGGATCATCGTTGAGTAGTTCAAGATGAATAGCATATTCTGATTCTTCGGTATTTTTCTGGTTGCTGACCATTTTGACTAGATATTCATATGGATTGAACCAAGTAGATTTGGGAATCAAAAAGCTCTTATTCTCGGGCTTCCAGACGTATCTATAAGAGATTGATCCAAAGATTGGATAAGAAGATCCCAGAAAGTTCCTGGATGTCAAAAGACGGGACATGGAGATTATCTTGTGGATGATTTGCTTTGAGAAAGAGACAAAGTGAAAGTCAATAACCCAGCGGAATATTTCCACGAGATTGGAGGAAAAGAATAGATCATACACTTCCCGTGTGGAAGTAGTTTCCCGTTCCCGACTTTTTATTAAGACTAAATGCAGGGGAAACATTTGTCATAATCTGGATTGTAGGAAACACAAAAAGGTATATCCCATTCTGCCAAGTTCTATTGTGTTCAGCATACTGGCTCTGCAAGTAGCCGTTGCTTCCCATGGTACCATCGAAAGGTTTGCTCCCTCGAAAGAAAACAAAACATAAAAAAAGAAATGACTATAAATTATCAATAACAAACTCGAAGTAACCTTACAAACAAAGACATCATGTGCAACACCAAACAAACCTCAAGTTTTCTTCGTGAAAACTTGATATTCGATCGGATAGAGAAGCTAGGACAACTCAAAAGTACTCCTGCTGTTCGTATACATAATCTGTACAGCTCGCGAGGAAGATTCACGTTTGCGCGTGTTGAATCCTCATGACAGCAATGCTTCGTTGGTGGATGTACATAATATATGTAACTAGATCTGGTTGTAGATGTAGTAGATTTGCTCCTGCCCATGGTATGATCTGTTTTGAGTGCAAACAAGCCAATCGATATCTTCGATATTCGTCAAGTACAAAAAGGAATCAAGGTAAAAGAAAGAATGTTTCTTTCATCAAACAAACGGATTGATCGACCAAAATAAACCAAGGTATGCATTTTTGTTCTCACATGTGTGGCTTAAGTGAGCCACATCAGCCACCCCCTCCCCTCAAATATCGCCGCCGAGAAGGCTATTAAACGTTTAAATATATAGGAAGTTCAAGCAGCTAATAGAAAACAACGCATTTAAAAGTGAAGAAAGGAAGATTGAGATATGAGATAAATGAAATGTTTAGCACTTGAATTCAAATATGCAGCACGGAAGAAGATGTTGTGCTTGACCTTCGGACTATTTTGCGGAACTCTGTATTCGCTTTGAGGGCCGGATATGCTACGAATGCAGTAGTATTTTTGGAAGATTAATCTGAATTGTCCATGTCACACTAAATGATCTCAATAACCGATCTCATACTTGTAGAGCATGCAGCTCCATCTCTATTAATTCTATCAATCAGGATGCCCTTGAAATTTCCCTCCCCTATATACCCAGAAATTAAGGAATAAATATATACAAAGAACATAGCATCATTATTAAAAACAAAACTCGTTAAAAGAACCAAGAGTTATTAGGATTCTTACCAGTTCGCCCACCTGGCGTCGTAGCATTAGAAGAACCCCTAGACGGAACACTCGGAGCTGATTCTCTAATCCAAGCCGGCCTGCCAGATCTTGAGAAAGCTCTCATGAACATCGAGGGAGGTCTTCCAAGAGTAGGACTTGTCATTGAAATGGGCGTTCCTGTTGATTCTTCTGAAATCCCTGAGAATCCTGAATTGCCCGAGTAACCTGTGCCTGATCTTCTTAACGGGTTATAGCGATAAGTGGGCGGTTCAAGATTTGTTTTTGTGGAGGGTTTAGTGTCAATAGGCTCTGTTTTTTGTGGGGTAGATGATTTATTTGAGAGAATTTCGAATGGGGATATCCTTCCTTGTGTTGAGGAAACTCTAGGACTTGGTGATAGTTCTGATATGGCCGGAGATATATTTTGGTATGAGGAATGTTGTGATAATAAGTTGTGTCCTTCCCGATAAAATTGCAGTGATTTCTGAGATGGATATAATCGTGGCGACAAAGTATGCCTGCTCCTCTCATCATCCATCTCGACCAATGGGCTACTTCCAGGAAGCTCATATATCGTGGAACTTGCATCCATTTCAGATGAAGCTGCAAACTTTCTTTGGGATTCTATTCGGCGTGCAGCGGTTGTATAATCCTCATAA